GCCCCTGAGCCTCTGGCCTGAACCTCAGTTCTGTATGTACAAATAAATAAATCTTTAAAAAAAACAAAAAACAAAAAACATGGCTTCAAGTGCAGCTGTGAACTGCTCTCACATCTAATTTAGTCCACATTGAATTATTTCATTAATAAGACAAAAAAGACCTCCCTGATACAGGTTTTTCTTCTCTATGTGTAAAAAGAAAGAGAAATACAAATTAAGGTAAAACACCCTTATGGTGTCTGCTGCCACGACTAATCCCTTCCCCCCTAAGCTGATGAGCTGGACATGGCTCTCCTGCCTGGGACTGTTTGTTCCAATTACACTCTGCGTATTCAGCCTCTCTTGGGCTCCAGGACCCTACGTGCATGCTTCGTTAAGTGAAATTACAGCCAGCTACTCACCCAAGTTCAACAAAAACAATCCCGTGACCAGCCTCCCGAGGAGTCTGGAGGAAGTGCGGAAAGCCACCCAACAGCTGGAGTCCAAAGGGCACGCCAAAGGTGGCGCTCCCGGGGGGCGCTCCCGGGTGTCTGAGGCGCCCGCGGAAACTAACGTTACTGACCGAAAGCCACCTCACACCCCACAGGGTTACAGAGAGACACAGGGAGCGCTCAGCAGGGTGCCAGGACACTAAGGGGGACCATGACCCTCTTCGCTCGTCTCTGCAGCGTCCCTGTCCAGGGGGGTACTGCTCTTTGAAAAATTTGCGACATGATTTGTAAGGCCATAAGGAATGTTCTTACATGTTAATAAAACAGGACACCAAATCTGATCTCAGAATAATTCCGACACACCAAAAAAAATCTCTTCTGAAAATGAAAAAGGCCAAAGGAAATGCAAAGGCCCATCTAGAAGTGCTAGCGGGGTGCTTCTGCAAGCGTCCTTTGTACCTCGGAATAATTTTTAAATGACTCGATACTAGCTCTCCTGCTCTTATCTGTTTGGGGCCCCATTCTCAAGGAGTCCCCACCTAGCTAGCGCCCTGGGCTTCCGCCCACCCTTCTTCAGCCAGAATCTCCTGCCCGCAGTCTCTGGCGCCAGGCACAGAACCGGGACTCTCCTCCCAGCAAGCATCACTTCAAAGCGAAAGCGCGACCCGGCCACCGGCTCAGCAGCTGCCGGCGGAGCCAGCCCAGAGAGCCCTGACGCTCACATAGGTCTCGGCCCTGGTTTAGGGTCAGCTTTCTTCGGCTTCGCAAGTCCTCAGTCTTCTGGCTCCCAAGCACATGAGTGCGAACTGAGGGGACAAAATGCAACCCACGGGCGCAAAGAAACTCCGGAGCGACTGAAAGCCCAACAGAGCGGCTGTTTGGGAGCAGCACTGGGGGTCTGGATGCCGGGCACGATCAGCGGCACACGCACCACAGCACCCCACAAGCGGATCATTCAGGGTGCAGCAGCTGGTGAGTTCATGAAATGCTACTGGCCCCCGGGAAGCTGCAGACATGGGCTGGTTTTCTGAGGTGCTCTTTGCTTCATGTGGAACAGGAGCTCTAAAAAGCACCCTAGTCAGTGTTTACTTTGTACAAACCAGGACCACGGCGATTTCTCCTCTTTAGGGTTTATCTGGCCACTCACGCCCATGAAGAGGTGACGATTACATCAGTAAGCAGCACCAATGAAAGTGCAGTTTTTGTATAAATATGACATTTATGCCACAGATAGAACAAGACATCCTGGCTTAGAAGGCTTTCCTTAAAGGGCACTCGAACATGAGGGGGCCCCTGTGGGCCGGAAGGCGAGACAGAGGCCTGAGGGCCACGACCCTAAGGCATGGCACCGTCTGCTGGGCCCAATGGAACCGCCTCTCAGCGCTCCCACTTTTATGCCGTCAACGCCTCTCCCTGTGAACATCAGGACGTAAAACTCAGCTTTCAAAATGATTTAAGAGCTGACTGACACCGCTGTGACACCCTGACAGTGTCCATCCGAGTCGGCCACCAGATCCCCAATGGCACAGGTTTCTGCTTCTCCAGAAATAAACACAACCAGCGCCACCTCTTGCACATGGGGCTCACTTTCAACCCGGAAGGGGCCCGGGGCCCTCCTCACCTGGGCAATGGCTGCCTCGTTGTCAGCCAGTCCTAGTAAGAAGATCCTCACTTTGTCGATCTTCACCGGGACCGTCCGCCCTCTCCACTCCACCTCGCTCATCGTAGCTGCCTGCTTGGCCCGGGTCTGAGTGATCAGTGCCTGGGAATAGTTTGGAAAAGTTAAAATTTTAACCGTGGGTGTGAGGGGCTGAGGTGGAAGAACGTGGAAACCAGTGTGGGCCTCGTCTAAGGTCAGTGCATCACACCTGACAGAGCAGCGCTCCTCCTTCAGATCATACACTGAGCTTTTGAAATACAGGTATTAAAAGACCTAACAAAAGGTTAAAAAGAGGATCACTAAGTTTCGGTAAGGGTGTATAAAGGGGTTCAGCCTGGGTAAAACTGCTGCACTAGGAGGCTGTCCGCAGCCCCCGCAGCACCAGTCCAATGCCCGGCCAGGGAGGGACCCCAGGGCGTGGCAGACCCCTCCTGTCTCCCCACTGCCCCCTCAGCAGTGGACTTCATTGGTCTGCCTGTGCTGCTCCCCACTCTGTCTCTGGTGAGTCCTCTCACCCCCCGCACCTCTGGCCTGAACCCCAGCTCTGTGTGTATAAATAAATCTTTTTAAAAAGGGGGGGGGGGTTGGCCCTCCCTGGTGGCGCAGCGGGTTAAAGCACAGCACTGAGAAGCTAAAGCCACTTCCGCATGAGTTCGATCCCCGCCTGCCCCGGAGGTGACCACATGGTGTGGCAGACCTCTCCTGCCCGCCCGCTGCTCCCCTCAGCAGTGGACTTCGTCCATCTGCCTGTTCTGCTCCCCGCTCTGTCTCTGGTGAAGCCTCTCACCCTCCGTCTCTGGCCTGTACCCCAGTTCTGTATGAATAAATAAATAAATCTTAAAAAAAAAAAAGGGGGGGTATATGAAGAAAGAAACACTGTATACACCACACGCAGAAATGCAAACTAGTAAAAACTTAAAACATCCAACTCCCCCCCCACCAACTGATCCTTCAGAAACCACTAAGAACTCGCGCCAAGCCCAGGGGCATACGCGTCAGTCATGCTGGTCACCACTACACAGCCAAAGGCACGTGGAAAGGTGTTTACTGAAGTGGAAAAAATGGCAGTGACATTTGATTTAAAAACCATGCTCCTTCACAGCACCGAGATCCTACTTTTAAAGCACATGCCCTGTCCCCCACACAGAAGTCTCAAAGACACCCCTCCGTGATCGACAGCAGTTACCCTGGGCAGTGACCTGCGGGATTCTGTTTCCCTCATCTATTTATATTTCCCACTTCTGCTATGGGCCTGTATTACCTACTTGAAAAAATAAATGTAATGAAAAAAAAGGAAAGAACATGTAAGGCTGCTAAAATTATAGATATCAATAAATCAGACAGTAATAGCAACTACCCCTTGGTGGTGGGACAAAAATTACTTCTTTTTATTGGACTTTTCCACACCAGAGACTTTTTGACAAAAACACACAAACAGATTACCTCCAATTTTTCAGCCAGCAGCCCCTCGGTGCCCCCAGACCTCAGCCTCATCTGCATGAGTTCGTTGATAGCTGACTGGTCCCCTGGAAAGAAAGACAGGGAGACTCCCCAAAGGTCTGGCCTGTTCTCCAGAAACACTACATTCAACTCAGACTGAGAAGGGCTCCTCCCGTCTACAGTCCCCGTCTTCACAGAGCTGTGGGGAGGAGAGGATGGAGCGGGGCGGACACGGAGCAAAGGAACTGCCTTCAGCAGTTCTGAGGAGGGCTTGCGTGGACAGTTCACCTTTCTCATCGTCTGTAATTCGGGGTGTCCGAGGGAAAGGGAAGAAAGTAAAACAAACTCTCCCGGCACTCAGCGGCGCCCACTCACCGATGTTGTAGGCGCAGTAGCGGATGTTGGGCGAGATCTCCTCCACGCGCTGGCTGTACAGCACGGCCTGCTCCTCTGTGAACGCGCTGGCCAGCTTCTCGTAGATGGTCCTGCGGGGAAAGAGGCCGCGGGCTGGCTGCAGGCTCGTTTTATGAGACGAAACACCAAACTCGCAAAGACGGCCACTAAAATACAACACTGGCCCTTTGAGGCCCTTCTGCCAACGGCCAGAGCTAGCGTGTTTAAGGCTGAAAGGAAGTGATTAACGTTTCTACAAAGAAGGAAAAAATGAGCTTGTATAATCGTGCACAGAAGTGACCACTAGCTGACCTGCACTGGACCCCAACAGCCAGCGTCGAAGCCGGCCGCGGAGGGCACTCACTTGCACTTGTTGAACGCCTCGATGGCGGCTTTCCACTCCTGATGCTCGAAGCGCAGCATCCCCGCCAGGTAGGCCGTGTACGCCTGCGGGCGGGAGGGGGCGGCTCAGCACCCCGGGAGCGGGCGCCGCGCAGTGCAAGCGCCACTACCCGCTTCCGAGAGCAAGAAGAAGGACGTCCCTTGACTTAAACGAGAAAAAGTTATTTCCCTAATAAAAGGAGATCCGGTCACTGGCTCCACTTTGTTTCCCCGGAGAACACTGCAAGAGACGGGTCTGTGTTCTTCATTTACTCAACAACCCGCTTCTGGCGATAAGTAGCAAAAGCTGATCATAAACTTGCAGTGTGTAGCATCGCTCACAAAATTCATTTGGAAAATAATTCCTGCTCTGTGAATTTCCTCAGATAGAAGACACAAGTTTTCCACATACGTATCAAAGAAACCCTGAGGGCTTTAGAAGCCCAGAGGCACCGCGCTTGCCAAGCAGACCCTTCCTTCCAGCGCAGCTGCCTGGCAGCGGCCCCGAAGCCCCGCCCTCCCCGCGCAGCCAGGGCTGACGCCGACACTGGCCTGGGCCTCCAGCTTGGTCTTGGCGTCCACGCGGCTGCTCTCGCACAAGCGCTCCAACTCCTCCGCGTGCTTCACGGCTTTGCGGAGGCGGGAGAGCAGGTGGAAGCGTTTTCGGGGTTCGGTGTTGGCCTCCTGTTTGAGCTGCATGGCGTAACTCCAGGCTCTCTCGGCATCCATCAGCACCAGAAGCAAGTACCTGAGCCAGGAGGGGGCGCGAGCTGAGCGAGGGCCAGGCTGTCTCCAGCACGCGCCCCACTGTAGCCGCCTCTGGAGCCTGCTCCCCTCACACCCACCTCAGCGGGCCGCAACTCCCAAGCTAGCACCTGGCATCCTGACTCTGGATCCTCCTCAGGCTTCCAACCCCCGAGCTGACACATGTCACTGAAAGTCGGACCCCTAACGTGGCCCACGCAGACCGGCCTCCCCCACACTGCAACCAGCAGAGACAGTCCAGGCACGTGGCTGGGCCCCATCTTCGCAGCCACACCTCCCGCGCCCCCACCAAGTTAGCAGCCACACCCCAAGGAGGCAGCACGCTGAAGGAGTTATCAGCAGGTTCCGGAGCCTAGCGGACATCCGTGCCACCACGCCCCAGCAGTGGGTCTGGGCAGTTCCACCTTCTCTGTGTCTCACTCTCCTCCACGGCAACACGCTCAGACCGGAGCCGGCACCAAGTACAACGTAGTCGGCAGCGTTGCGATGGTTCCGATGAATCGCTTACAAAATGACTTCCTGACTAACCTTCCTTATACTGCAGCTTGACTGCGTCACTGCAGGGGAACAAACTCATGCTCACAACTCTGATGCCCACACTGGACCTAACTCAAATGTCCTGCTCGGTGCCACCGCACACGCAAATTCTGTGTGTCTCTGGACCCCAGTTCTGGCCTCGCTGCTCCCTGGGGGACCGTGACAGCTCCTTGAGGGCGTCCACACACTGCGCTCCCCTCATGCAATGCTCCTTCCTCTCACAAATCCTGCCTCCCCCAGGCAGGTTCCCGCTCCCCCACCAAGCGCGCTCTCCTCTCCAGCCTTCGGCACTCGAGAGTAACACACAACACGGCTGTTCTGTCTCGTGCTGCTTCCTGTTCTGCACTGGACCAAAACCCCCGACGAGCTGCTCCACAAGGTCCAAGGACTACACCTCTCCAGCGCCCACACGAGCCAGCGGGCAGCCCAGGCCAACAGGAGACACTTTAGGCCCTGCAGGCCACGGGGCCTGTCCAGACTGCACAGCCACTGTATGACAGCAGCCCCAGCAGCTCACCCTTAGCAAACGGGGCGGCGTGGTCCAGCTGCGCTTTACTTACCCAACAGGAGGCAAGAGGACCAGTGTGGCCCAGAGGGGAGAACTGGCCTGCAGACAAGTCGCTGGACAGACACACGCTCGTGACCGTGTCTGCCTGCGCAGCACGCGCTCCCGCAGTCAGGCCCGTCGTGCTCACGCAGCTGCAGTGCGCGAAGCGAGCACTAAACACTGAAACTCACATTCCAGAAACCCAGTAACTGGCCATGTTCCAGTCGCCGGCGTCAGCACCTACCGCCCCACCAGTTCTCACAGTTGCTAAACCTCTTTGAGCCGTAGCTTCTTCACCTTCTGACACCGGAACAGTAAAAATGCCCACTCCACAGAGCTGCTGAGACGCCACGGAGACAGCCAGAGAGGGAGGGGCGACGCCCAGCCCGAGACGCACGGGGGCCAGCGGCGAGCGCGTGTCAGCACCTGTTATCGGTCAGGAGCTCTTCGGTCACCTTCTTCCCTGTGAATTTGTGTCTGTTCCCCATCTTGAAGTTGAGTGTCTTCCGGAGCCGCCTCTGTCTGCGGGAGCAGTAGCCCCTGTAAGAAAGTACAACCAGGCGGCCGGTCACGCTGGCGGGAGTGCCCACGGTCAGCTCCCCGACGGCCCAGCGCGGAGGCCACACGCCTCCTGGCAAACACAAGTTGGCTGGTGTCAGAAAGCAGGAAGAGAGGCGGACACGGCCGCGTGCTCAGAGCAGCTGCTCTCCAGCTGGGGAGGCCCAAGCAGCATGAAATGATACCCGAGAAGACAAGGCCGCTGACAGGGCGAACTGAGGGCACACGCCCTCATCCTCATCTGGGGGCGCCGCCGCGGGCGAGCAGACCCGCCGCCGTGAGGAAGCGCCACGTCACTTGGGAGACCGGTGGCTGCGAGGACGGCCAGCAGGAGCCCAGCATGGCTGGAGAACGAGCTCACTGGGGCACTGAGCACCATGTCTCCTCCGTGTCGGGGAGTTACTCCTCTGTGGCAGTAAGTGCTTCTCACTATTATAGACTTTACTGCAGGGGGAAGAATTATTTCTGAATTTCATCCAGAATCTTACTAGCACAATGCCTAATAAGCAGATGTCCAATAAATTTACTTTGACTCAATTAGTATAAAAATCAATATAAAATTTTACCAACCCTCAATCAAGTAATTTAGCCCAAGGTCCTTCCTGGTGGCGCATCAAGTTAGGACACAGCACTGGGCCGGCAGAGCTGCTTCAGTGTGAGTCTGATCCCTGCCCCGGAGGTGACCCCCCGGGCACAGCAGACCTCTCCTGTCCTGCCCACTGCTCCCCTCAGCAGTGCACTTCATCGATCTGCCTGTTCTGCTCCCCACTGTCTCTGTCTCACCACCCCGCACCTCTGGCCTGTACCCCAGGTCTGTATGCATAAATAAATATATACAGCACATAATTTATAACGCAGGATATTTAAATGACACTTAGCACTCCAGCCTTAAAGCGACCAGGGCACTGGCACCTGAAAAGAAGAAAGAACTATCTGATTTGATCTAGGAACTCCATTTCCCCCCTCAACTGCTAATAACCAGCTTTAATTATCATTTGTCCTTTTACATAAAAATCAAGTGAAAAACACACATCAACAACAAACCAGCAGCAGGCGCGGCAGCAAGGACCATCAGGAGCCCGGCTGGTGCCACACGCCCGCCGGCTCCAGGAGCGTCAGGCACAGAGCCGACACGAGCAGAAGCTGACGTGAAAGCAGCCCGCGTCTGAATAGGCGACCCGGGGCCAGGGAAGGCTGGCGGGCTGCCCACGGCAGCACAGCAACGGAGACAGGTGTGTACGAGACACTTCCAAGGATGAGGAGAAACACATGCAATGTTCTACCAAAAAGTCGGGGACGACGCTGTACAGGCAATATGCGCACACTTATGAAAAAGGCCATCGAAAAAGACCAAAATCACCAGCAGACACATGAGCAACACACTGATATGTGAAGAGACATAAAAATAGACAGTTAGATTCATCACTTTCTGGATATAAGCATTATACTTCAAGAAAAAAAAATTTTTAAAGTAGAAAGAGAACAGATAAAACAAAAAGGGCAGAAAGCTGAGCTGACGGCTCCTGTGTGCCACCTCTGCATCTGCTTTTGAAGATCTCCTTAACAAGTAAAAAAACAAACACCAAACCTAACAGTCTCCGGCGAAACTCTCGCGCTCCGGCACGCCTGCAGCACCTCTGACGGCTGCCAGCGCTCCCCTTCTGCCCTGACTCCTCTCCACTCCACCCACCCCACGCTGCCCCTCCGCCTGCGAGGCTGACGCAGGGCCTGGGAGTGAAAAGCCGAGATGGCCAGCGTTTCAGTGGGACTTTCAGAAATCAGGCAGTCACAGCCTACTCTGTAGGTGATGCAAAGGTAGTTGGGAATTTCTGCTTTCAGAATACAGAACTGTATCATGAGTAGGTATCTGTTTTAATTTGTAAGAGTCATATCTAATTTGTTTTCCAACTTGGAGAATGCTACAGTAGTTCACCAATAAATTATAATGGTGGCCTCCCTGGTGGTGCAAGGGGTTAAGTCTCAGCGCTGTGAGGCTATCGGCAGCCCCTGCAGCATGAGTTCAGCCCCGGCCAGGGAGGACCACAGGCCGCAGCAGACCTCTGGTCTCCCCACTGCTCCCCTCAGCAGTGTGTTTCAGTAGATCTGCTTGTTCTGGGGTCCACTCTGTCTCTGCCGAATCCTCTCACCCCCAACACGTCTGGCCTGCACCACAGCTCTTATATGTATAAATAAAAATAACCCCCCCCCAGACCAAAAAAAAGAGCAGGCCTCCCTGGTGACACAGGGGATTAAAGCACAGCACTATGACGCTACCCCAGCCACTGCAGCATGAGTTCAATTCCCAGCCAGGGAGTGACCCACATGGTGCCACAGACCTCTCCTGTCTCCCCGAAACTGCAACCATTGGCCTCTCCTGCCCAGAACGCTCCCCTCAACATTGGATTTCAGTAGATCTGATTGTTCTGCCTCCCACTCTGTCTCTGGGGAATCCTCTCACTCCTCCCCCACCTCAGACACATACCTCTGGCCTACACCTTAGCTCTTGTATGCACAAATAAACAAATCTTTAAAAAGAATCTTTTATAACAGTATCACAGAAGTTCCCCTTATACAATATAATACTGCAAAGTCTGACTCTTACAATATGGCTAAGTTAAGACATAACTAAACCAATTACTGTTATTTTTGAGCAGAAGCCTCCAAATGTATCCAAATGAGGTGAAATGGACAGAGAAACTGGCTTCTTTTACCACAAAATTTTTAACTTGCAAAATATGTATACATCTGGAGAATTTAGAGCTGGACTTTCTAGGTATATATTCTGATGTAGGAGCAGAAACAGAATAATAACAAAGACAAGTCAGGTTTGGAAATTGCACAATGAGTTCTACGCACCTTGAATATGATACTGACCTGTACCTCTGAAAGTCTCCATGCCGTAAGCCATGCTGCTGCTGGGACTCCTTAATAATCTGAAGAACTAGAGCCAAGGTTAAGGAAACGCCGACAGTGGCAAGAATCCAAATAAGTCAAGACAAGTCCCACTGGTCTATATTCAATCAAACCACGGCACATCCGACCTTTCTGAAATATTTCTACCTCTACATACCTTTCTACATAGTGACTGTAGCTATTTTCAGTAGCCATCTTGTCATAGGACAGGATTAAGAGGGTAGAAAAGCTGATGGTGGGAGTTAGTAGTAATCATTATGACCAGCTAGAAAAGGGCACTATAAGCCACTCAGGATTGCTTAAATAAAACTGCTGATAGTTAAATGGGGTGTCTCCCACTGATTTACACCTGGAGCCATGATTTTACTCATTCACACACTCAGGTTATAATGACGTGTACTACTCCTCTATTTGCATAACCGCCTCCATCTGCCAAATCTTTCCTGAACAGCTGTGATGCTCTCTAAACCTGTGGAGAGCATGTGCCAGCCAAACTAGGTTATGACCTGCATAAAATATTAAAAATTCCTGTTTAAAAAAAAAAAAAAGCTCCAACCAAACTCTCCTATTTCAGTAACTAAAAATGGACAAGGGAGATGTTTGCTGTAAAATCAAAGCATTCTAACATCCATTTGGAACTGTGACACCAGATCAAAAAGTAAAACTCCAAAACACCACACAATTAATGAAGCTGTCAGATCTGATGTGTTGCATCAGAAAACGCACCTACATTTGCTATGCACGTCGAAAAGTCACAAATCAGTGCTGAAGCACTCGCCAAACTGATAAACGCTGGAGACGGGTCCCTGCAGCTCAATCTGAACGACCAAAATAAAAGGCCTGCAGACCTATTAAGAAGCTATGCAGCTGCGAGATTCAGAGTCAAAGCTCTTCCCAGAGCAACCTGCCTCCACTTGCAGGGCGTCACACTGCAATTTTCAAAACCCAGTCTCTGCCGGCTGTCAGAAGAAAGTGATTCGCCAGGAAGTCAGGGCTGCAGCTGTGGCCTCCCAGTGCCGCGGCTCCAGATGCCACCACGGCAGCGGCTCACCGGCCTGGCCACGGGGTCATTCCAGGCAAATGCCCACGACTGGCAAGTGCGGGGAACCCGCAGAAAACGGCCCAACACTGCGGCGCCGCCTCAAAGAAAGGGACATTCCCCACCCCGGAGGGCGAAGGTGACGGGGAACGGCGGCTGGATACAGAGCCCGGCACGTGGGGCGCCAGAAAAAGTAA